CATCTGTGCTCTCTAATTTCATTAATTTGTTCCTTGTGAATTTCCTCTGCTGTCTTAAGAACAGTTTGTTTACTGCACCTGCTTTCACACGTGGGAGCTCATTCAGCCCAGAATGACAGAATAAGAAAGTCTAAAAGGAGCCAAGACTTTAAAATGATGACAGACTTTATCTGAAAGATCCCTCTGGGGGCAATTTATCAGTTCTGTGAAGTTTCAGTGACAGCAGCTCCTACAGAAAGACATAGATTCTTCTTCAGCTTCAGACGCTTTGATGTGCTGTAGAAAGGTATGACTCAAGGGGCATTTTGTACCGCAATTAAAGCACAGAAGACTTCAATAAAAAAAGATGGACAGTCAGTTTTAAAATATTTTAAATCCTGTTTTAAGTAGCTTTTGGGTATTTATATTAGGAAAGTTACTTCGTTATTTGCTGTGTGCAGGACATAGCCCTGACTGAAAAAAAATTTGTTAAGACCAATATACATGAAAGAACAATAATTAGCAGTAAATTGTGTTGTGTACCTTAACTGCAGGTCAAATTCACAGAAAAGAGATAGGTGTTGGCTAAAAGAGCTGGGCATGAGGGAGATGCTCAATAAATTTTTTGTTGAAGAAGTAATAAAGGAATGATCTATGTTAGGGTATTTTTGTCTTCTTCACTAATTCTGGCTCTCAGAACAGTGCTAGACTGGTGTTTAATGAATTTGTGTTGAATAAGTAAATGTATACACAAAGGAAATATACTTTGAATCAAATTTTGAAAATTGAGCAACATTTCCAGAAATGGTAGTCACAGTACATTGATCTGAACCAAGTGGTGAAACCAGGAAGAACAAATAGACGGGTCCTGAGAGGAAGGGAATGTAATCTGGCCTAGATCAACAATCAGCCACTGATTTTCCTAAGGAGCCATGTTTAATGAAGGATTACTTATCAACTGTCTATCCTATCTTAAATCTCCTCCCATATTGCTTTCTTCTGCATCAGCTACTAAAGTTTTAAAGTCATTTCTATAGGTCCAGTTTTATCCTACCCTACTGCCATATCCTACCATATTCTATCCTAAAAAACACCTTTGCTGGATTCTGCTTTCTCCTCAAGATCCACACCCCATTCTTTTCTTCTGTTTACCGATGAATTTCTTAAAGGAGCAGTTCTTTACTTCTTTTTAACTGTATCCCATGGGAGCATTGGTGGACTCTCTCTGGCATTCCCTACATTGCTGATCACCTCTCCAGCATCTCACCCCTGAACCACTCTCTTCCCTCCTTCCTTCCTCCTGCATTTCTTTATGTCCACTCTCAGTATTCTTTATCTACTCTTTTCCTTCCACCTACACCTTGCTGAGTGTCCTCCCTAAGAATTTTTCATGTCCTTCGCTGTCTTCTTGGGAGAACACAGCAAATGCAGTGGCTCTAGTTATCACCTGTACGCTGATGACTTTCAAATCTGATTCAGATCCTCAGTAGAATTTCTACGTTCATATGGCTTTCCAGAAGCCTCAACCTTAACATATCTAAGATAAGAATCTTTTCCTTCCACCTACACCTTGCTGAGTGTCCTTCCTAAGAATTTTTCATGTCCTTTGCTGTGTTCTCGCAGTGGCTCCAGTTATCACCTGTATGCTGATGACTTTCTTTTTTTTAAAATATATTTTTTATTGATTAAGATATTACATATGTGTCCTTATCCCTACATTATCCCCACCCCCCGCTCATGCCCTCACCCCCTCCCGCCTGTTGTCCATGTCCATTGGTTAGGG